TCCTTACCAGTACCACAAATCCTCACGTCATGCATCTCGCAGGTCATGCAATAGGGATGCTTTTCATATTGTTTAAGCATGAAAAGGGATTTTCCCTAGGGAGTGTAACAGAAGAGTGCAGGGGAGGGAGGGATAATTTTAGGCATGGCTTGCTCACAGGGGCTCAGACATTTCCTACAATGACCTTCACCTCACTCTCTCTCCTGCTCTCGGTTCTGTTTCTCAATGTTTGTTTCACTTGAGGGTGAAGCTAACTGCCAGCAGCTCCAAGTTGCTTTTGTTTAGCTTTGGGTCTAGTGGAAAAACCACATCTCTCTTATAATAGTCTTAGGAAAAATTCTGAGATTTATTCTCATTGGTTCTGACTAAACTGAATTGGGTCAGATGGCCATTCCTGAATGAGTCACTGTGGTCAAGGGAAAAGGTGGTTCTGATTTGATCTGCTCGGGTAATTTCACTTGAACCACTTAAGCAGTGATGGATAGGACAATGGTTTCCTCCACTAATAATAATGATAATGATGATAATGATAATAATGATATCCTTATTATTATTAGCAGATGGGGCAAGGGATGCTGGTCAGGCAAAAGTATACCAAGACCTCAAGGTATATTTACCATGAACAAATAGTTCTTAAGATACAGAGCTTCTAACTAGATTAAGCTCCTTCCTCAAACACTACATGCAATTTCATATTTCTATTTTTATATTATTTTCAGGCTCCCTCGGATAGCATAGGTTTCAAAAATTCTTAAGACCTGGATCTTATCCTGCCAAGGCTAAATCCGAGTTCTGTATCATTAAGGTTAATTCATTTGGAGAGCAGGACAGAATTATTCCCCAGTGAGGCCCCAGCACCAACCATTAACAGTAAGAGTTCACCAGTAACAACAGCCCTGAAATTTCCCGTTGTAAAAAAACCAGTGAGCTACCAAGATTCCAGTGAACTTAAGAAAAGTTTCCAGTTTTATAATAAAAATATTAATGAAACTAATAAGATAAGTAGAATTTTTTTTCATATTGTTTTCTTTGAAGTTGTTTCTTTCTGGAATATTATTTTAAGCCCTATCTAACTCTTCACAGCTAACTTAGTTGTTCTCGAGCATCTAGTAATTTAAGTATTTGTGGTGTTGAAGTTTGTATCTTCTTCTTCCACAGGAGAGCTCATGTCCTAGCCCCATTTGTTTTCCCCACCCTTGGCATGCCCAACATGTGTAAGGTACCAGGTGAAGATGACTGAAAATAGGGATGGAGGACTAAAACTCTATCTCACAACAACCCTATAAGTTTATTAAACATCATAGTCATCTCACAAAAAAAAAAAAAAAGGAAACCAAGGAACAATTCAGCTCAATAATGGCAGCACAAAGGCCAGAAGTATGTTTTTCTACTTCCTAGAACATTTCACCTCCCCTATTTCGTATTATCTTTGAAGGAATATTCTGTGGGCTCAGCAATAATTTCACATGCTTTTGTGGTCCGTGTTTCTCTAGCAGCCAGAACATAGTAGCAACAACAGAAGTCAGGAGGAGAAGAAAGAAGGAAAGAAGAGGTCAAGAGAAGTTTTATTTTTTCAAATTAAAACTAGAGAGATGTAGCATCCAGAGGACTACAGAGAATGATCTGGAGCAGAGGGAGATATAAAGGAGGTAGAAGAGAAAGTAATCTGAGGAAAGGTGGAAAGAATGGGTATAAATGTTGCATGTAGGTAGATGTGGTGGTAGTGGTGAATAAAATGCTTTTCTCTGCTTTAATTTTTTGTAGCGAAGCCAAATTAAGGCCATTAGTTAAGAGAGAGGGTGGAAGAGCTGATATGATAAATTTGAGAAGAAAAGGTATAAAATTGTCATCTAAGAACTTGAGAGGGAGAAAAAGAGAGAGAGAGAGGAAAGAGAGAGAGAGTGGGCTAGAGAAATACAGGATGCTTGCTAGGCAGTATTAAATATTCATTAAATATTGAGGGTCATACAGCAATTGTACTGCTGGGGATTTACCCCAAAGATACAGATGCAGTGAAACGCTGGGACACCTGAACCCTAATGTTTATAGCAGCAACGTCCACAATAGTCACACTGTGGAAGGAGCCTCGGTGTCCATCGGCAGATGATGGATAGAGAAGCTGTGGTCTATGTATACAGTGGAATATTAGTCATTAGAAACACCAAATACCTACCATTTGCTTCAATGTGGATGGACCTGGAGGGTATTATGCTGAGTGAAATAAGGCAATCGGAGAAGGACAAACATTATATGGTCTCATTCATTTGGGGAATATAAAAATTAGTGAAAAGGAATAAAAGGAAAGGAGAGAAAATGAATGACAATATCAGTGAGGGTTACAAAACATGAGACACCTAACTCTGGGAAATGAACAAGGGGTAGTGGAAGGGGAGGTGGGCAGGGGGTTGGGGTGACTGGGTGATGGGCACTGAGGGGGGCACGTGGCGGGATGAGCACTGGGTGTTATGCTAAATGTTGGCAAATTGAACTCTAAATAAATAAATAAATAAATAAATAAATAAATAAATAAATTGAGGGTCATAAATGTAAAATCAATCACATCAACATGGGATGTGTTTTTCTCCAGGTTCATTCACTGCTGGTACGGAACAGGTAGAGGTGAATGTAACCAAGCCTGTGATTTCATCAAATGAATTGAGAAGCGAGCAAGTGTAAAGAGTATATGCAAAAGTCAAACTGCATTCAGTTACCACAGGAATTCAGCTGATTCCGGGCAGGGAAGAAAGAATAGGCAATTCGGTGAGGGTCAGTAAAAGGCTGTGGGATCAATATTTAGATCCCATTTAAATGGGTTTTTAAAAATAGGATCCATATTTAAATTAGAATCTAGAAATCCTAGTAGAACCATTGGTAGAGTAGAAACAAAAGAAAGAGCACTGAAAAGTCAAGAGGTAAGCAGCGAGAATTAGTGAGTTTATCGAGAAACTGCAGGGTCTGATGATGCCCAGATCGAGGGTAGGACCATGAACATAAGTAGCTGAGGAGGAATCAGAAGACAAGATCACTGGAAGAAAGGCCAGGGCATGCTAATCATTCTGTCATCACTGGTCTACCTGTGTACTCTCACCTAGGTTCTCCCAATCACAGTACTCAATTTGTAGCTTACTAATCATAAATGAATATCATCTTCCAGGAAATCTCAAGTTTGCATTAGAGAAATTTTTACTATCATCTTAAACAAATAATAGAAATGACCCAATCAGGTAAGACTGATTTCACCATTTACTTGCTGTTTTCTTTCTTTTTTTATGTTCCTATCTAAATCACAGATTTAAATCTATGGTTCTACAGAAATAATAAAAATGCAAAATAATACTACACCTCCTAATAAATCCATTAAATTATTATATTATGTTAAAGTCTAGTTCATATTTCACTTCCAAGTATTTTATTTAAAAACATCAGAATTTACATGGAGATATTAACTGAAAATATGAAAAAATGATCAAGTGGTGGACAGAATAAAAAACTGGAGAAAAAAATCATATATGGATCATTTACTTAATCAGAGATACTCAGTGATACACTAATTTCAGAGAAAGAATGTTCCTTTGTGAAATTCCCATAAAAATTAGAATTCACACTGTACTAAATGCATTTTGTCCTACATATTTGAGCTCTCATATTTCATAGGCATATTGATACATAATTGAAGACATTCATGAATAAAGAAATGTGTGAAGTATATGAATCTTCATGCCACACCAGGCTTTAAAAATATCTAGTCATAATACAGATATACATCATCATTCTGACTGTGAGACTATCTGGAGCTATGAGAAAGCCAAAACTTCCCCCGACTACTTGAAAAATCTGTAACTACCATCCTGATAGCTATGTCTCGGCATTACCTTTTCTACCTTTGCCCAGCTCTGGCCCACTGTAATCTTCACACAAAACTCTTGATGCCTAATGATACCGCTGATAATTCTACAAGGACCCCTCGTGATGTTGTGCTGTCAATGTGGTCAATATCTACTGGTAGATATTGCAGTAATGGCTAATGCCTGCCAAAGGGTTCAAGTCTGCCAAAGTAGAGAAGTTCTTTAACCCACAAATTTGTGATAGGGTTATTTTCCGGAGCTTCAGCCCAATACTCTGGATCTTTGGATTACCATACCATTTTTTTTAATTAAGCAGTTTTTTTAGTTTTTTTCTTTTTCTTCAGAATATACAAGGGCTGACCAGAAGCTTGTTGGAATAACCAGCATACCTCTACTTCTATGAATTCTTAACCTTAGATATGTTCTTAAACTCTTTTCCCCATTAGGAGCTTATATTTTGCTGAGTTTTCTTAGTTGCTCATGAATACAATCCTATATAATAGAATTATACCAAAGCCCTTCCATATATGCCTATGTTTATATGGGTCCTGGGGGGGGGGGGGAACTAACACCGTGGACTAACACAGTGAAGTTTGTTTTATAGACTTAAAACTCTGATAAATTGTGTCTGGGGTATGTATATATTTTTATTCCCTATGTTACTTATGTTATGAAATATTTCCATAATTGAATTTCTTTCTAAACACACATTTTGGAGCCATCATGTAGGAGTGTTCTAAATAGCACAGAATTGAAAAAAGAGGGTTGGATTGACCATGGAACATTTGCATTGACATTTGACCCTTAGCATTTTTTTAAATCTCCATATATATTCAAGGTCTGTCTTATTAACAAATAGAAGGTTCTCCAGGTTTTCTCTGATTATATAGAACTTGACTGAGGGCAATGAGAACTTAAAAATCTCATCCTGTAAAAGCACTACCATTCTTTACAAAGTTCTTTACAGAACAACAAAGAGATCACCTCAAGCAAAGTAGCCAAATATCTAAGAATCTCTGAAGCACAAGGTGTACACAGTCCATTTATGCTTAAGAAAAATCAATATAGCACAAACACGACTTAATAAAAAGATTTACAGAGAGATTGTAAAAATTCTGAGGTTTGACCTACCCATCAATCAACCAGGTCACTTACCAGATATCTCCTCTAGGCACTGCTTAGCAGTTTTATTATATGATAAGTCCATCTTAGTAGGACTGGTACAGGAGTCAGCAGATGATAAAGAGGTACCTTCATTTTCTGAATGTGATCTGAAATTACCAAAAAATAGAAACAAATAGCAATTGTTGTCACCAGTAACTCAAAGTTCTCTAGTACAAGCAGAAAACAGCATGTTAAAAGTTTACTATTAAGGTAAGTATGCATTTCCTTATGATGGAGACATTCCAAAACTAACTATAAGAGAAAGCCCATATTTTTCATATATATTTTTCTTATAAGAGTGAGATTAATAAATCATATTTCTTAGACTTTTCTAAACTTGAAAGCTTTTAATTACCAATAGTTTCATTTTGGAGGAAGCAAAAGACTTGAAAAGATCCAACTTTCTTTCTGCTATTTTAGACAGAGTCTGGCTAAGTTGTATTCTTGTGAGAATAACTAATAAAGGTACTGAGAGCACCCCTAAAATTATTTTTTCCATGAAAATTCTAGAAAATATATCCTAAAATTGAAAGTGTAAGTAAAAATAAATTTCAGAAAAATTAAGGTCCATCAAAACTAAATTTCGTCTACTTTATGTTTTATATGTTTATGTGTGTGTGATTAACATGTAGAGAGTAGGTCTAATCAAATGAAAAGCACACAACAGATGGACTGAGTATATTTTGATATTCCCATCTTTCTTCATGCATTGCTTCTTCCTTTTATGCACAGGCAAATGTTTTAAGAGGCATGATCTTTCCTGGTGCAGCTTCAAAATCTACATATATTTGATCCAAATTACCACATCTTAAAAAAATCTCCAGCATGAACTACTAAGACACAGATGGACGCAAAACAGTAGAGCATCATATGCTAGACTGTGTCCTTTGGAGATTTCTCATTTGCTTGGAGTCCCGTTTGTATGACTGAGTTTGGACCATGGCAAGTGGTCACTACATATTTCTTATTTTTAAAGACATCTAGGGGGAATATTTATATGTGAAAGAAAAATTCAGTATATATTTTTTAAATCAATTTTTACGTAACATTACTTTTATTCTCAATCCTGGTGCTGAGAGGAAAAAAAGTGTTATCACTGACACCAAAGACACTTCATATTGAGCTGAGAGATGTAGAAGCTCTGAGCTCATTAGGATTTTAAGAAGTCATGGAAAACTTTATGCTGTATGTATGGATATATGTGTATAAACAGGAATTGATCTAGAAAAGAAAGATCTATGTAAAAATTCATACAAATGGTCTCTGTGGATTTCTGGCAGACTGTCTTTATTTTATTTCAACTTAAGACTGAATTTAAAAGCACGGCAAAACTAAGAAAAAGGATATACCATTCTAGTGACAGGGCATATCATAAAGGCCAGTAAAGACCTCAACATTGCTAAAATCAACAAAACATTGTAGCCTTCACCTTCCTTGATATCTTCTTGGCAGCATTAAGAACAGACGACTTATTCTTTTCATGAAATTGTCCTACCCTGGCTTCTATGACAAAAATTTTCCAGGTTGTTCCTCATTCTCTCTGGATGCTACCTTTCTCCTCTTTTGTTTTCTTTTACACAATCATTAAATATTGTGGTTCTGGGTAGTCAAAAGAAGGGGATACAGAGGCCAAAAACTGTGAGTTCCTCAAAGCAATATGCTAAACTTTGTCCAGTTTTCACTGTAGTCTCTTTAGATCATCTGAAACATATTCATTGTATTAGTCACTACCGAGCCACACATGAATCCCAGATTCAAACTCTAACCCAGCATTTTCCTCTGAATTCCAGATGTGTATCACAACCGTTTCATCCACATTACCTCTTGGTTGTCACAATATTATCTCAAACCTATCATGTACAGAATTAAACTTGTGATCTTTTCTCTATAAACCTGTTCCTTGTTTGCAGTATCCTGGTGAAACCTTTAGAGTTTCATAGGTATGAGGCTGTGCGTGGTCTGATCTCCGTCTGCTTCCCGAGTGTTATCTTGCACAGGACTGCTCTTATCTCCCTCCCCTGTGGTCACAACAGTCTTCTACCCACTCTCATAGCTCCCTGCCTTAACAGAGCTTTTACACTCCGTTATTTTCCATCCCTCTTTATCCAATTGAGTCTCTCCCTTCAAGTCTCAGTTCAAGTAACTTTTCAAGAACCATCCCTAGTTTTTAGGTAAAGTCCCAAATTAGAAGAACCCATTGCTCTCTGTAACTTTTTTTAAAAGATTTTATTTATTTATTCATGAGAGACACAGAGAGAGAGGCAGAGACATAGGCAGAGAGAGAGGCAGAGAGAGAGGCAGGCTCCATGCAGGGAGCCTGATGTGGGACTCGATCCCGGGTCTCCAGGACCATGCACTGGGTCAAAGGTGGGCACTAAACCGCTGAGCCATCCAGGGATCCCTCTCTCTGTATCTATCTTGACAGCACTTCATACTCTTGAAATGCAAAATCTGTAATTATTTGATCAGTGCTTCTCTCCCAAACTAGACTTACATGTTTAAGCTCACTGTTATATTCCGGTGCCTAGGCCTGGTCGCAGCAAATAATTGGTAAATAAAAAATCTTACTAGTAATGATGATAAAATCTATTATTGAAGTATAGTATATGGAAGGAAGTATAGTATATGGAAGGAAGCATGGTATAACGGTGCATGCACTGGGTTCCGATGTAAAACTTGGCCCTGTAACTGAATAGTTATTAACTCATGTGACCCTGCTAAGTTACTTAGCCTCCCTGAACCTCAATTTGCTCACGTATGAAAGCCAAGAAAAACAGGTGCCTTGTAAAATAACTGTGAACTCAAGCATCGTTATTACTAAAGGCTTGGAAAGGCACTCTCTTGAGGCATGTAGGGTTCTGGTAAACATTAAAATGTGGGGAATTCATCTGGCTCTCTGTGTAGTCCATTTCTTTTCTTCTCTGGCTCCCAGGTTCTCCTATATCTCTATTGACAGCCCCTCCCTACTCACTGCTAAAGCCCACTACAGTTGGTTCTTCTATTTGGCCTACTTTCTTCCTGGCCACTGTACCTCCCTGACCTGTTCCTTAGCCTGCTGTCTCTGAATGAAGGAAGAAAATCCTTTGAAGCTTTCTAAGGATTTTTTTTACTTGCTGAAAAGTTTAAATGGAGAGTATGTCGTGAGACTAGAGACCTCAGGGAAAGCTTACTGGCTGCTGGCCAAGAAGCCTCAGAAAGGCAGGGTGCCTTGGTAAACTGGCTGTGAGCCAGGGCTGGCCTGGCCTATGGTCCTGCCGACTCAGTATTCAAACACTGATCTCTCAGAAGCTGAGTCACACTAAGTAGTTCACCGTGATGGCTGTCTAAAGCCCAACGCCAATTGGTTTTTATTAGAACATGATCAGCAGCTGGGACAGGAGCCTGAAAGCATGTGGTCACGTTAGTTATGAAGATTCACACACTGCCACCCTCTAGAAAAATCTGCATGAAGCAAAAGCATATTCAGAACATGTATTGGGAGTAGAAATTTTACTTTGTTCTGAACAGATTTTTTTTAAGGTTTTATTTATTTATTCATGAGAGACAGAGAGAGGCAGAGACACAGGCAGAGGGAGAAGCAGGCTCCATGCAGGGAGCCCGATGGGGGACTCGATCTGAGGACCCCAGGATCATACCCTGAGCCAAAGGTGGAACCTCAACCACTGAGCCACCCACGTGCCCTGAACAAACAGATCTTAAAAAGTATTGCTCAGGAGCTGACTGCGGGCGGCTATCTTCCTCAGGATATGAGACCCAGTACTCAATGCCATCAGCCATCTCCACACCCCTTGTTTGAGACTCTTTTATAAAAAGGGTGCACACTTCTGAGAGCTCAGTCTTGTCTTAGAAGCCTTTGTTTTATTTTTTTTAATGTGTCAGTGTGTATTTCTGGTTAATTCCCTCTTATCTTTTCACTTTAAGTCACAACAGACAATCTTATTTACCTTGTTTTCAAGTTCTTTGCTGTATTTTCCATGGTATTCCCCACACTAGCAATGATAGGGAAGCAGATTGATCAAAGAAAGGAATATGGAAAGGTAAAATGTCAAATAATTATAAAAAGTACTTAGAAGACAGCTTTGGTTTGTATATACATGTAAATGAGTCCAGATCTCTGTTCCACATATGTTACAAACCATCCATTTCTCCAGGATTTCCATTCATTATTTGTTAGGGAAGAATCAGATTTTAACTCCAGTCTCCAGAGGGGCAATCACTGCTAACTGGTAAAGATTTAACTTTTATACAAATGATCAAAAAAGTTCAGTTAAATCTCTGAAGACTCCTAATATGTCATCTTTTTTTGTACATGTTTCATTCTAATAAAATAAAAGGATTCGGAGTTGACCCATGAAACAAGAGTTCAGAATCCTAGTGTTCTCCAATCAAAGGGTACATTTTGACAGAGTGGATACTAAAGTGGCACCACTCATTGTTCCCACATACACTGATACTGCATTTTCCTCATACTTATTGGAAAAAGAAAAAAATAGGTGTCATCATGTTCCTTTAAATTATTGGGGTGCCTGGGTGGCTCAGGCGGGTAAGCGGCTGCCTTTGGCTCAGGTCATGGCCCTGGGGTCCTGGGATGGAGCCTCGCTCAGGGCTCCCTGCTCAGTGGGCTGTTTCTCCCTCTCCTGCCACTCCCCCTGCTTGTATGCACACACGCTCTCTCAAAAAAATAAAATATTTGTTAAAAATAAAATAAAATATTTAGAAGACATGCTCTGTGCAGACTAACTACTGTGTATTTAAAACATGGTCGACATGTTACAGAAACCCATGGAAACTGTAAAATATAGCATTGCAAAAACACTAATCTATTTAGAGCGCTAATAAGCCAGGCTTTCGGTGTCAGCACTAACTTTTACTAAGGCGCAAAGTGGTGAAAAGTCTAGACTTCACCAGTGATTAGCATAAAAGCTATTTCCTGTTGATGTGCACATACTATGTGCCAAATACTATGCCTGGCATTTTAACTATGGCATGTCACTTCCATGTCACAACAATCCTGTTGTTAGGGAATGGATGTCTGCTTCCTCTCCCAAATTCCTATGTTGAAAACTAACCTCCAATATGATAGCATTAGGAGAAGGAGCCTTTCTTT